GGGTATTGTAAGCATTTTATTTATGAGGGGGTCATAAATATATAATCTTCATGAAATATATAAGTGTCTGCAAAATACTTATTTTTCTTAAATTAAACCCAAATATAATCAATCATTATGAATGTACAATGTATTTTTATTGGATTAAAAAAATTAATGGATGAGATTTCAAAATTTAATTATTTTTTATATATAAAATTAAATATTTTACAATTCGAGAAATATAACCATGCATCATTCAAGCTAAAAGCATAAATCCGTATGAATACTCCTCTGGATAAATAAAATCAATTAAAATATATAAATAAAAAAAATATAATATCAAATTATCAATACAAATTACAAAGTAATAAATAAATTTATAAAAGCAATAAATCATCAAGGGAAAGGGATGTCAGGGGGGATTTTCGTTATTTAGGCTTACCTCAGGGGGTTGTGGTAATTTGCCCTTTATTTTTTACATATTTAACAGAAGGATATAATAGACATTTCACGTTTTCGGTTAAAAAAATTCGGTCAACCGTTAGTCAAGGGGGGTTTTCGTAATTACGAGAACGTGAGGGGGATTTTCGTTATTTAGGCTTACCTCAGGGGGGTTTTGGTAATTTGCCCTAATTTATTTTATCTTGCTTGTTAGATACTGTAATAATACAATTTTTTGTCTTGGGGGTACTTTGTGTACAAATATACACCACTGAATTTGATATTGGTGGTTTTTGGACCTGGGCATGGCAGAGCTAATGTTGTTTATTGCAATTTTTTTATGTTGAATTCTGAAATTTACTAATTCTTTTTTTTTTTTTTTTTTTTTTTTTTGTTTCAGCTCTGTTGGGATATTTCTTTTTACCTATTATTCACCTACTTAAGGTTGCTCTATTATTAATATTTTTTTTCAACATCATTCTCTCTCTTTTAGTTTACGTTTCTCACTCACTTACTATGTTCACAGTCACATTTATTTCCTTCCTGTCTTTGCTCTTTATGTCGTGGATTTGCAGCATTGTTTCGAGAACAGTGAGTAATAAGTCTACCTAAATGATTTATATAATTGACATGTTTTATATCCCCGTGTTAGTTATGCTTACTAATTGGTTTTGGTTTATTTTTAGGACGACTAGACACTGTTGATGCAACATCTAGGTAAGAACTCGACAAGCAGTAGAGAGTTTTAAATCCTTGCACTACATCTTTTTCCAAAAATTGTTATTTTTAAGTTTTTATTGCGATTGCAGGCAACAAAGCACTATCGGAACCCGCACAATTTTGTGCCATGCGTTGTTGTTTTGCTTCTTGTGAGATGTTTTCTTAATTTTTTGTTTGCACTTTGCAGCAACTGCTGAACTTTTGCTGTTTTCTCAGGACAAAAGCTAATACGTTGATATGTTTCCTGCTGCAGTTAGTGGTTGTGTGCAGCTGCTGTTGCACAAAGAGTGAATTTGTGACCTCGAGATCACCGATCAAAATCAGTCATCCGGGAGGTATCCACTAAATTCAAATGGCCCCAACTACCCTTTCTGCTAACCTATTTTTTAGACATATTCTTTGTTATCTTTTATTTGTGAATTTTGGTTATTTCATTTTTTTCAGACTGAGACATTTTTTTATTTTTCAGACATATTCTTTGGTCTTTAAATGTTGTTGTCTTCGTCAATTGGCGTTGACATGATCAATATATGATTAGATTTTGGGTGTTATAGTTTATGTTCTATTTTTTCTTACATAAAAAGTCTTTTACATGAAAAAATTTAAACTTGCAGGTCTAAGAACCGCACAACTTACTTATCCAGAATTTGAGATTTCAATAGATGAGCATGGTGCTATTGTCATGCTTGGGCTAAAATACCTAATGGTTGTTTCCAAACGGATCATCCTGTGATGGGATTTTTGCAATAACTTAGTATTCTCTTTTGCAAGATTTAGTAAACTATTTTATATTTTCTTTTGCATAACAAAGTGTTAATGTGTTTTCCGAAATTCAGGGACTGGCTATTCCAAAGAAGAATATGGCACCTGACATAAACAGGTGACATTTAGATTGAACTATTTAAATTTTAATAATATGTTTTGGTTAGTTCCAAAAATCCATTTGTCCAACTTCTCTTGAACCCATTTCCTTTTCCTTAAATTAAATTTAATTTTAAAAAACATTTAGGTAATGATTGCCAATCTTTTTAGATGTTTTTGGGTTTTTTATTGTTATTTTCAGGAATTTACGAAATGTGAATTTTTTTTATGCTCGGGAAACTGGAAAGCCACTGGTATAGGATATCGCCAGGTTTAGTTTATTACAAGAAATCAGAAAAACCGAGTGAGTATGGGTATTTAAGAATTTTTCTTGCTCATTGAGTAATTTTGATTTTGTTTTTGTTTATTTAGCGCATAGTCTTGCTCGTTGGCATATGGTTCTAAATAAGTACATTTCTTTATCCAATATCATTTTTTTTAAATGTATAGGGAGTTGCAGAATTAGTACATTTCTTTATCCAATATCATAATTTTTTGAAATGTGTAGAGAGTTGCAGAATTTTCGTTTCCGTTATGCTCTTTTATTATTTACAGTTTATTCTTTGAAATCGTAATCGGTTATTTTTTTTGCCTGCGAATCTGCCAAGAGGGACCAAGTTTTTGAAAAACTTTAGCAGGTATTGTTGCTACTTTATGATGGTGTTTGTGCTCCACCTCCAATTGTTCAACTCGGCAAGATCACTAGGTAAAGAGTTGTAATTGTATGTCTTTGCTGAAACGTCTCTGTTTTTGTGTACTCTTTTGTGGTTTTGATGCAATTGTTTGTGAAGTTTGGAATTTCTTATTAGTCACGAAGACGTGGATGTTTGAAAGTTTGAATAAAAATACATTGTCGATCCATCACTTTTGTAAGGAACACTTTTGTTTGCTTCTCCTTTATTCTAGACTCGGTTTGTATTATCTACTTCTGTAATATTTTTGCTGTGGAACTTTTGAAAGTATGTCGAAAATACATAATCCGATAAGTTCTTGTATTCACCCGGCGTTTGTATTATCTACTTCTGTAACATTTTTACTGTGGGACTTTTGAAAGTATGTCGAAAATACATAATCGGATAAGTTCTCGTATTCACCCGAGGCACTGGGCACCGCGCCTGGCGCGGTGCTCTACAACTAGTATATATATATATATATATATATATATATGGTAAATTACAACCACCCCAGAAGTTTGACCAAATTACGAAAAACCCCTTCATGTTTGGATAAGTACTGGTATCTTCCTCAACTATGAACCTTCTTCCACATAAACATCCTTATGGTGTCAAATTCAACATAGTCTTCTTGGTTTTGTGGAATGTTCTCGAGTTTGTACTCGTTTTATGCAAAAATGCAGTTTATGATGCACCACAATTTGATATATATACAAAACAAAAAACACATCTTATGATCATCTTGCTTCAAAATGTGGAGCTCGAATGATAAAACGGGTACAAAATTGAGAATATTTCATATGATGTAGCAGATTTCACTAAATTTGACACCGCAAGAGTGGACGTGTACGAAGATTTATAGTTGAGGATAGTTGTAATTATCTAAACATGATGTTTTTTTTCGTAATTTGACCATAGATCACGGGTCGTTGTAATTTACCCATATATATATATATATATATATACTTGTGAAGGAAGATTATTTTATTTTGATTCTCAATCCCTATAATCAGACCCTTAAATAGCCAAAAAAAAAAAAAAATTATGAAAGAAAATAAATTCGATACGTATTCATAAAAACCTAGACTTACTTTATTTTCATTCTTAATATTATTTTGTCTTTAGGTTTAGAATATTTTGTGACTTGATATTATTTTGTGCTTAGGCTTTAGAATATTTTGTGCGAAGATGAAGTTATTGCTGGGAATAGTGTTAGGTTATGTTTGGTCTAAGTTCGGCTTTCAACCCCTTCAAGAATAACGGCGGCGGCGGAGGCTGAGCAAAACCCAGTTCCAGCGGTTGACGAGGGTACATACTTGACCAATATTCTTCAACTTTTTTTTTTTTTTTTTTTTTTTTTTTTTAATTTTATCGAGATTATTAGTTTATGAGTAATAATATATCGAGGTTCTATACTAGATAGAGTATTTATAAATTATAACACATGGAACAAGAGCAAATTGATTTTCCACTAATAGTGACTTCTTCATTAATGTTCGAGAGAATATAAGATGGGCTCAAATTTATAACTGTAACTAGAGGTTCAAGTTGAAATAGAAATTTAAATTTTTGCTGGTTCTGATTTGAAAAGTTTCGATTTTGGAATAATTTTTTTCACTTTGGCTTCCAAAATTCCGAATTCCAATTTTTTTCCTTTTTTTTTGGATTGGAATTGGAATTATATAGAAAAATATTAAAATTTTCGATTTTCGATCCGATTTAATTTCCGAAAAAGCCCGATTTGTTTTTGAAAAATAAATCTATAAATAATATATATTGTATAATACTTATTTTACTTTTTTTTTTGTGTTCTAAAACAGTAATTTGATTTAAGTTTTATTTTAGGATTTACACATATTGAATTGTTGTTAGAAGTTTTGTTCGATATTATGATGGGGTTTATTGCTATTTATTTTTTTGAACCGGAATTTAGTAGTTATTAATTTTACGTTTATCAACGTGGATGTTCTTATTTTTAGAAAATTATGAAATCTTAATAAAATTTTCGTTAAGTTTTTGAAATTTTAGAATTTATGTAATTTCCAAAAACATTCCGAAATTTCCGGGCCTTTTGTAATTGGAATAAATTTTTAAATTGCGAAAATTTTGGAATTGGAATTGATTTTGTACTTCCAAAAAGTTTTGAAAACTTTTCAAAAAGGCTAATTCATGTGCGATTCATCCGACTTTCACCCCTAATTGTGACATTTAAACTACACTTATAGACTTCCTTTGTTTTTTACTTGTTTGGTTCCTTAGATATTACCGTGGAAATAAGAAATGTGTCGCCTGCACACTTTCTGAGCAAAATCGAATCTTTTTCCTTTATGTTCTAAGCTTGGCATTGAAAAATACGAAGCCAGAGTATTTGAAGCTGGAGATTACAAATGGTATGTTGTTAATTTATCACTCTTTCGTTCTTTTATCTTTGATGATTCCGTTTATTTGTTGGATGTGACACTTATGGTGATGTTGCACTTGGACATGAGACTTATAATCTATCCTAATGGGGACCATCCATTCTCTACAACTAAAACCGCAACCATGTTTCCGCACACTTGGCAATCGCTGAAACTAGTTCTTTGCCCATAGACTGGGAGATTAATGCCATTCTCACAATCTTTCTATATAACCTGATTTGTATCTTTGCTTTCGATTGAATGGTGGTGGACATCGTTTTAACGAAGCAAAGTCCATGTGGGGATTTTCAAAACTTATCTCTAAGAAAAGTTTAAAAGATGAATCAAATGGATACTTGGTTGGTGACAATTTTGTGTTTGGAACTGAAGTTTTTGTCGTTAAAAGACAAAGAGTCGTTGAACGTTTGGTTCTGCATGAAAAAAGATCACCACGGAAAATGATTTGGCAGATTAAAGAATTCTCTAAATTGAAAGATATTACGTATTCCAAAGAATTCATCATCAGAGATATCAAGTGGTCTCTCTCCCTGTCTTCTATTTTCTCTTTTCTCTATCTTTCGATCTCCTTGTCATTAAAGTTGTACCACTCTAATCCTTTTGATTCAACTTTGATTCTTAGGAAGATTAAGATATACCCAAATGGAGCTCTTCCCACTTTTGAAGGTTCTTATTTATCAGCGTACTTTGGTGTGTGTTAGTGCCCATAGCTACCTTGCTCATCAAAAAGTGAAGGCGGAGTATAGGATGAACATAAAACGCAATGCCAACTCTTTCTGCTTGACTTCGGAAGGTGAGTCGTATGTGTGTGTGTATATACATATCATGATATAGCTTATCTTTCCATTTCCTCTGCAAATTGCAGTTAAAACAAAGACAAATTTTAAATTTGTACTTGCAATTTCAAAAAAAAAAAAAAAAAAAAAAGATCTTTATGTTTTAGTTAGATAAAATCTCAGCAACAATATTTATAATTTGTTTGCTTAGACTCTAGTCCAATTTGCTAATAAATTTCCATTTTGCAGTTTCTCGATGGTTTACATGTTCGGATAAAACATGGGGGCATGATACTCTTGCATTTCTTGATGAAGTGCATAATCCTCAAAATGGCTATATTGTTGATGATAAGTTAATTTTAGAAGTAGAAATTTATGTGGACGCTGTTGTGTTATAAATGATTTAACTATTTTGCCCCATATGATTGTTTTCTTTCGTTCTTTCTTTCTTTCTTTAGATATTGTTCTACAAACAATTATTACATGTATTAGTGCGGTGAAGGCATCGCTGCTTTCAGCCCAACTTTGAACGAGACCAATTGTACTGTTTTG